GTTGTCCGATTAATTTCTTTCTATTTTTAGTAGAGACGGGGTCTCGCTGTTGCTCAGGCTGGTTTCGAACTCCTGAGCTCAAACAATCCACCCGCCTCGGGCTCCCAGAGTGCTAGGATTACAGGTGTGAGCCACCATGTCCAGCCTATATTTTCTATTTTTTTAAGAGACAGGGTCTCACTCTGTCACCCAGGCTGGAATGCAGTGGCACAATCATAGCTCACTGCAGCCTCAAACTCCTGGGCTCAGATGATCCTCCTGCCTCGGCCTCCCTCGTATCAAGGACTACAGGCGAATGCACCAACAAACTCAGCTAATTATTTTATTTTTTGTAGAGACAGGGTCTCACTATGTTGCCTAGGCTGGTCTTATAACTCCTGGCCCCAAGTGATCTTCCTGTTTTAGCCTCTGAAAATACTGGGATTCCAGGTCTGAGCCACCATACCTGGCTGAATCCTGATTTTTAAAAAAGATATATACACACAGGTAGGCGTGTGTGTGTGGATATATACACACACATATATATATATACACACGTGTGTGTGTGTGTATAGAGAGAGAGAGAGAGAGAAGAAACAGAGTTGGGCCCCTAAGTCACTCGCAGCAAAATGCAATTTGGCTGAACTGTTAACACATGCCAGGTGGAAATCATCAGATGCCCCAATGCACTAATTTGTGCTATACCAAATAAGCCATATGCAAGTTAATCTACCTGACCCTTTTTGTTTCCTCTTCTCTGCCAAATGGGCTGCCCAAAATTAGTCTGCCCTATCGTTATTCCAAAATCCTGTCAGCAGGCTCTCATCTTATAGATGTCCCCAGGACTAGGCTTGATCACTCTCTCTACACCCACACATAAAAGAGGTCTTTTATTGATAGGTCCCTTCACCCTGGGGCTCCCCTCACTTTTATCTGAATAGATAATAAATCTTTGAACTGCTTGCAACCAGTGGCTCTGGTATGGTATGTTTTGACATCTGATACAGACGTGGCAGTGGGCCAGGTCAGATGGTGTTACACACAGCCCTCCACACATACAGGCGGTCCTTACTCTGCATGCTACTGTGTTAACTCTGCAGAATCTATTTCTCACTTTGCATGGTTCCATGGCAACTTACAAAATGAAGAATAGGTTCTGGTATGTAAGTTTCATTTAACAAAGTTCTGTGCAAAGTGAGGATTTCCTATATTTCTTTCCAGATACATAGACAGACATTTTTGGGATAATGAGGAAAAATCTGAATATGGACTAAATATTAGATAATGATATTGACTTATTAATTTTCATAGATGAGATTATGGTATTGTGATTATGTAGGAGAATATCCTTATTTTCAGAGGATGCATGTTGAAATATTTAGGGATGATATTATCTTTCAACTTACTTTCAAATGGTTTAGCAAAAAAAAGTATATACATATAAAGCAAGAAGAAATCTATTGAATAGTTCCTAACACAAGAAATGATAAATGTTTGAGTTGGATATGTTAATTAGCCTGATCTGATCACTATATACATTGTATGTATCAAAACATCACCATGTACCCCATAAAGATGTACAATTGTTACATGTCGATTAAAAAAAATTTAAATTAAAACAAAAAACAAATTTTCAAAAAGCTAAAAGAAGAGATATAAAGCAAATATAACACAATATTAACAGCTATTGAGTCTAGGTGGATAGTATATGGTTATTTATCACATTATTCTTTCAGTTTTTCCATAGATTTAAAAATTTGGAAGAGGTGGCTGTCAAAAAAGTATTTATTGAGAGGTGAAGGAAAATAAGGAGACCAATTTCTCATACAGCAACAGTTTTTTTCTGCACAGAAAGCACAGTATACTGGAGTTAAATGCAATACTCAGTAATTCACTATACAGTGTCTGCTATAGTTCAACTTTAACCTTTTCTCAACCACATACAATTTTCTCACAGATTTCTACCTTATCAGAGGTGATTAAAGATCGTGGTTCAAAGTTCGATGCACCAGAAATGTGGGCTAATGCTGCAGCCAATGCATCCACTGCTCCTTTCTCTTCTATCAGTCTCTGAGCTGATGGTCGGAAAAAATCAACAGCAGCATAAGAAACGGAAGCCAGAGACCTGTGGTTTAAAAATAGTAAATTTTTTTGGTCAAGATACAGGGAAAAAATGAAAGATAGGAGAATGAATGGGAAAAGAAAGAGTAACATTTTCATATTTTAATATAACTGCTGATAAAATTGGTGATTAAAACTTTCTGATATTTCAACTAGAAGAGCTTAAAGATGAATAGCCTAATATAAAAGAAAAAAATTATTCAGCAAGGTCAGAAAGCATACCTGATGGCATCCATGCTTTTAGATTTAACTAAATCCATTGTAGAAGGAACACCTACACGTTTAAAAGTAATTCCCTGAAAATAAAAGAATTACATTAAAGAAAAATGGAAGTCTTTACAATTAATTCCTAAATTAATATAGTTTGTTGAATTTCCATTTCTAGGACTTAAAGATTTCCAAGCCCTAGCAGATTAAAAGATCTGCTTTTTCTAATAAATCATCATTTACAAACTTTGGAAAGAGAAAAAAATTTTTGGAATTGTCCTTCAGTTAACAATTATGGAATTTCACTTGCAAAATAGAGCTAATTCAAAAGAAAAGAAAAAGACATTGTTTAAATCTATCAACTTTTTTTTCCTTTATCACCCCATCTCATTTTACAAAGCATATGAAAGAGCATATAAAAACACACACAATAGGCGGGCGGGTGCGGTGGCTCACACCTGTAATCCTAGCACTCTGGGAGGCCGAGGCGGGCGGATTGTTTGAGCTCAGGAGTTTGAGACCAGCCTGAGCAAGAGTGAGACCCGTCTCTACTAAAATTAGAAAGAAATTAATTGGACAACTGAAAATATATAGAAAAAATTAGCCAGGCATGGTGGCACATGCCTGTAGGCCCAGTTACCAGGGAGGCTGAGGCAGGAGGATCGCTTGAGCCCAGGAGTTTGAGGTTGCCGTGAGCTAGGTTGACGCCACAGCACTCTAGCCTGGGCAACACAGTGAGACTCTGTCTCAAAAACAAAAAACAAAAAACATACGGAAACTATTCAGTTTCTCTGGTTAGTCCATAAAAATCCCATATCACTCATAATGAGATGCTACAATTTTCTACCTAAATAACAAACATCACCCAGCAGAGGAGAAATTCCATTATTCCCAACCATAGAAGCTAATTATTATCCACTGAAAGGGGAATTCTCCCCCAGCTTTTGCAGCAACATTAATTCCTCCCTCTGAGATAAGGCTTCTCCAACACAGCTGCTACTGAGTGTAAAGTAATAAAAGGAAAGGTAAATCAGCTACCCTCCAACTCTTTCATTCTTTAGCATCTGTTTATACTGGACATTTTAAATATCAAAGCTTATGCTACACGATTAGTTAAAATGACACTGGGGTAGATGGTGACAGCATAGTCTTTGAATCCCCAGTTCCCACATAAAAACACAGGGCAACCAGGATAACAAAATTTAAAATCCACAAACAACATACATGACAAACAAATGACAAGGTATTTTCATGATTTCTAAAACATGAGCAGGTAGATAAGGATAAAAGACCTGTATGTATGGGGTGGGAATGTGCCAGTCCTAAGTACAATTGCTCCCTGGAAAAGCATATTCTCAAACAAATTGTTGAGAATAGCAGCTAAAACTGGGTGGATTTTTAGATACTCAAGGGTGATTGTGAGGAGCCAGAGGAAAGGTGTGCGGGGACTGGAGCAGGCTGGGCCCTATATAAACTTTGCAAAGTAACAGCCAATGTTCCCATTCCTGGACAAAGCCCCATACTGAAGAGAAACTACTGGGCCTAGAATCTAAACTAAGGATGCCAAGGATAACAGGATCAAAGAAAAGAGAAGATCCACATAAAAGTGAAGAAGGACATAGCTGGAGCTCAGAAAGTAGGAGACTTTTTTTTTAAAAGCTTTACTGAGATATAATTTACAGACTACATTTATAAACACTAACAAAAGTTTAACAGAAGCAGCAGCTCTAGAGCAGTGAAGCTATTCTAACCAATGCCTCCCCATCTGAAGTTCGAAAAGATTAATTTCATCTAAAAATGAGCAACAGAGGACGGGCGCGGTGGCTCACGCCTGTAATCCTAGCTCTCTGGGAGGCCGAGGTGGGCGGATTGTTTGAGCTCAGGAGTTCGAAACCAGCCTGAGCAAGAGC